ACACAGGGCCTCTGACTTGCTCAGGATTTTTTTTTTTTCGATGGAGACGTCTGGGTTCCCTGTGTTGGATTATGGACCTTATATCCCAAATAGGGTTTGTAAATCCGTAGCCACACCTCCATCTTGGGGTCAGTTCTCTGGCTTCCTAAATGACTTGGGATTCTGGACCACATTGGCCTGTTCTGACTGCTCTGAGAGGACCCTTCACTTTTCTCCCAAAATATTAAAAGAGAGTTAGAAGGGGGCTGGAGCAATAGTACAGCGGGTAGGGCATTTGCCTTGCACGCGGCCAACCCGGGTTCGATTCCCAGCATTCCATATGGTCCCCCGAACACTGCCAGGAGTAATTCCTAAGTGCAAAGCCAGGAGTGCATCGCTGGGGTGACCCAAAAAGAAAAAAAAAAAGGAGTTAGAGGACTGCTAAAGTCAAAGGAAGAGAATCAGTGTCTAATCAGGGGTCGGAATAATACATAAAGAACATCCAAGACTCTTCTTTCTAGATGGACAATTTTATGGTGACATTCCTAGAACTAGAGGCAAAGAATGAAGGACACTTTGTCATGCAATCTGTCATTGTCACTGTCACTGTCCTCCTGTTGTTCATAGATTTGCTTGAGCTGGCCCAGTAACATTGTGAGACTTGTTACTGTGTTTGGCACATTGAATACATCACCAGTAGCTTGCCAGATTTTGCTGTGTGGATGAGATACTCTTAGTAGCTTGCCCGGTTCTCCAAGAAGGGCGGAGGAATCAAACTTGGTTCGGTCATGTCGTCCGCGTGCAAGGCAACCGCTCTACCCTCTGTGCTATAGCTCCAGCCCGTCATGCAATATATATATATATATATATATATATATATATATATATATATATATACACACACACACACACATATATATTCTCAAGGAGTAGAAAAAACACCTATTCTGGGCAAGGCCTGGGTTTTGATTCTGGGCACTGCATGGACCCACCCCTGAGTACTGCCAGAAGTAGCCCTGGTGTCCTCTAGCACTGCTGGGTGTGGCCCAAGGCCCCTGAGCACTGTCGGGTGTGGCTTCTGTAAAATAAAATAAAATAATAGAATTTTTAAAAAAGTGAATGAGTGATTTGGGGAAAGTCCTTCCCAGTAAGGATCCCTGCTGGATTCCATCAGAATGAGCACATTATTCACAGGGAATGCCTCGTGAGTATTCGCTTGGTCATTGTGAGGGTGAATCCCCAGGCTCCAGCCAGGAGTCTCTGACCCCTGGGTCTGTTTCCACCTGTGCTCTCTGCCCCATCTCCAGGCCTTAAGTAAACAGAAAGTCAAAGATGGTGATGACCGTGCTGGGAAGGAACACGCAGGCATGAGGACCTTTGTAAGAACAATGAACAGAGTCGCCTATGGGCTCCTCCTTCATCCCCATCACAGCTGTAGCTGCTGCCTCGGCTGCAGGGGCTCAGGACCCACAATGGAGACTTTCCCCGGAGCTTCCAGAACCACAGGAAGCGTGCAAGTCAATTGCCCTGCTCCAGCCTCTGCCTGGTTTGATCCCGAACACTGCTTGGTCCCCTGAGCACCCCAGGAGTAACCCTCCTTCGTCCCCCTCCCCCACTCAGCACTACCAGGTATGGCCCAAAAGAGGAGAGGGGATTCCTCATAGCTTTGATTTCTGAAGTTTTCTCAGTCAATATAGAAAAAACTTATAAGATTTACCACTAAGTAGACACATTTTAAGTTTACTGCTGTGTTCATTCCAATTTTTAATTTTTTTTTGTAGCCTGTATTATATAGAAGTCTGTTCATTTGTTTGGGGGCCATAATAGTGGTGCTCAGGGTCTACTCCTGGCTCTACACCCAGGAATCACTCCAGGTAGTCCTTAGGGGACCAGGTGTGGTGCCAGGGATGGAATCCAGGTTAGTCATGTGCAAGGCAAATACCCTATTCGCTGTTCTGTTTCTCCAGCTGGGAGAGTTCTGCTCCATTACTCAGGGTTTGAGAATTGGCAGTAGAGAATGAAGAATGTGGCGTGCAGTTTGGAATTCCAGGGCATCTGACACAATGTATCTTGCTGTCTTACAGTGTTGTCCTAAAAATCAGGATTGCTAACATTTAAAATTAATGGAGTTTATATTATTCACAAAGATGGTGCCACTGGGACAGAATTTCTGGGAGTTTTCCAGTCTTCCCGATGCCCGCTGACCTTCATTGACCCCTGGCCCCACCAGGAGGCTCCTGGGTGATGCCTGCTTTGGGAAGCTGCTGGGACACTTCCTCTCCCTCCTTCTGGGGGTCCCAGGGCTTGGGGCCTGAGTCCTGAGGAGGGTCCCAGAGTCCCTGTCTTTCCAGCAGCCTCCTCCCCTGTATGAACTCTCCCTCTCCCTGGCCCTCGGTATGGAAACAGGCAAATGCATCCGTGTTGCCAACATCTGTCCCTCCTAGTGCCCCCTGCACTCCGCCCTGCACCTGGACTTCCGGTCTGTAGTGGTCAGGATGACCTTCTCGTGTGGTTCTGAGGCAGGATCAGTGACTGTTGCTCCAATAAGGCATCTTGGAATGGATGCAGCCTGCGAACACAGCTCCTACTGGAGAGGATGCTGCTCAGGGCGAGCCAGGAAAGTCACCCTTGGACCACTCGAACCACGTCTGTGTTCTCAGCAAACATGTCATTGCTGAGGGACTAACCCTGAATATATATATATATATATATATATATATTGAGAAAGATCTAACTAGAAGCCAGCACTGGGGATTACCTGGGTCTTCACCTAGCTGGGAATCCACCAAGGGCCTTGGGCAGAGGCAGGCCTTGGCCGCACAGGGAGCCCCAAAGCACACCTGCCTGTCCTCAGTGACCTGCTCTCTAAGGCCCCGAGGAAGCAGTGATGCAGGCTTCTAAGGTTCAGAGGAAGTAGGTGAAGTCAGGCTGCTCCTCACCCTCACCCTGTACTCCCAGGCACAGGTGGTTTGAAACTTTTGTTGAACCCTTGTCTACCACTGCTATCCTAAGAGAGAAGGAGTAGACTGTAGCACTGTAGCACTGTCCTCTTGTTGTTCACCAATTTGCTCGAGCGGACCCAGTAACGTCTCCATTGTGAGACTTCATTGTTACTGTTTTTGGTATATCGAATGAGTCACAGGGAGCTTGCAGGCTTTGCCGTGCAGGCGAGATACTCTCGGTAGCTTGCCGGGCTCTCCGAGAGGGGCAGAGGAATTGAACTCCGGTCGGCCGTGTGGGCCACATGCAAAGCAAATGCCCTACCCGCTGTGCTATTGCTCCAGCCCTTGGGAGTAGACTCTAAATCAATTTTCTGGGGCTGGAGTAATACTGCAGCAGGCAGGGTGCCTGTCTTGCATATGGCCAACTGGGGTTCAATTCCCAGCACCCCATATGGTTCCTTGAGCCTGCCAGGACTGAGCCCTGAGTGCAGAGCCAGGAGTAAGCCCTGAACACTGCTGGGTGTGGCCCCAAAGTAAAGTGAAACAAACGAACGCTGGAGTGGCAGTACAGCAGGTAGGGCACTTGCCTTGCATGTGACCGACCTGATTGTATCCCTGGTGCCGTAGTAAGTGGTCCCTCGAGCCCTTCAGTAGTGATTCGTGAGCAGTGCTAGTCCCAAAAAACAAACAAAATCACTTTTTAGAGCACACACCTTCACCTTTGACTCATAAAGCTGCTAGTGCTGTTCAATTCACCTCTTGACTTTCTTTTATCTTTCCACTCACCTTTGTACCCTCTTTAAAGTAGGGAAAGGCACCGTGGGTCGACTGGGCCCTGCTCCCAGTTTAAACAGATCCTGACTTCACAGATGCTGGTGGGGAGGACTCTGCACCCCTGGGCACAGGGGGCACCTGAGACGCCCTCCACATCCTAGAGTACACATGGGTCAGGAACTGGTCCAGGGCTCACATCCATGAACCCCAGGAACTGGGCGGTCAACAGCCTGCTGGGTCTGCCCGGGCTTGTTCCACGGGGGAGTGCTCACCGCATTGTCCACACACTGCAGCAACAAGTTCTCCTGCACCTCAGAAAACTGGTCCCCGGCTCCCCTTGCTCAGGGGCCAGCCTGTTCCTGTGGTGGGTTGGTGAGGAAAGGTTGGAGGGGCGGCTAGGGGCACTGGGCATGAGTCACTCAGTCGGGACCCCTGAAGTATGAACTCTTCCTGGGCCACCTGTCCTGCCCATGGAAGGTCATCCAGCTGATAGGACAGTCAAGATGTCCTCTCTCTGGGGAACCTGCTTCTGGTTACAGACTCACACCTTAGCCCAGAATGCCAATATTTACATAGCTTCTCTTTCTTACCCAAGTGGACAGAAAAATGGGGACATGCTCAGTTTATGAGGGGTAACACTGGGACCACATTTCGTGGTCCTGCTCCTATACGCCAGTGGGCACCCCTCCCACGCACCCCAACCACCCCATGCAGTCTGGGTTGTGAGCGCTTGCGTGAGACAACGTTCTTCCTGTGCCAGGAGCGGCTTTAAACCCCTCATCTGCGAGGCACCAAGACCTGGTGCTGGTCTTCACTCGGGAGTCTGGGCCTCCCGGAACCTAGAACTCAGCAAACAGCTCAGTGCAGCCCTGGGAGCGCACTGCCGGGTTTCGGGCCCTCGCTGGGCTCAGAGTGGAGGCAGGGAGCGCCGGGGCGGCTGGCATCCGGGCGCTCAGACCGCGGCAGCCCCAGGTGCGGCGCTAGGAGTGGTGTAGCTCGGCCGCCAAGCCTCGATCAGGGGCTCTCAGCCTGGGCGGCGCCCCAAAGCCCGGGTCGCAGACCCGCGGGCAAAAGAGAGGTTGGAGGTGGGACGGCCCAGGGGCGGGGCATGCCGAGGGAGGGGCGGGGCGACTGGGGGCGGGGCATACCAGGGGGCGGGGCGAGGCGGGCGGGCGGAGCAGCCCAGGGAGCGAGGCGGGACCCAAGGGGAGGGCACACGGAGGGGCGTGGCGTGGCGTCTGGGGGCGGGGCTGGGAGGACGGGGCGGGGCGGGAGGCCCAGGGGTCGGGGCCGATTGGCGCACAGTAGGCCCCGCCCCGCCTCGAGCTTCCGGTTGGAGTTTCAGGGGCTCTAGGCCACTGACAGCTCAAAGTGCACGAATCAACAGTCATGTCCGTGACCTTGGGTTACTGGGACATTCGCGGGGTAAGCGGGGGGGGGTGGGGGGGTCTGCGGGCACTGGGGAGGAGGGCGTGGTGGAGGCGTCTGCGGGGAAGTGCTGAGCCGCCAGGGACTGTTCTGCAGGGGTGCTGGGGGAGGGGGGCCTGTTTGTGTGCCCGGTAGAGGGGCGGTAGAGGGGCGGGCAGGGGAGGCGGAGGTTTGGCTGAAGAAGAGCGCCCCCAGATTCTGAGTCAGGATTCGCATCTCAGTATTCTCCCCCGCATCTCTCCCAGCTGGCTCACGCCATCCGCCTGCTCCTGGAATACACAGACTCCAACTATGTGGAAAAGCTGTACTCCATGGGCGACGGTAATGCCACCCGGGCCTGCTCTAGCTTTGCCAGCTCGTGCTGACATCGTGCCACAACCCATGCCCGGACGTCCTGGCCCCCTCTGAGGGGTGAGGGTGGGGGTGGCCCTTCCCCTCAGCCCCTCCTGGGTGCTGCTTGTCCCAGCCAGGTGAGGCTGTGCCTTCTCGGTGTCTTCCCCTCAAACTGCTGTTGAGAGTCTTGCTGAGAGTCAGACCCAGCATTTCGCAGGGTCCGGCTTGGAATAGGGCTGGGCGTTGGGGAGGTCTGTTCTCACCCCATCTTCCCCACACAGCTCCCGACTATGACCGAAGCCAGTGGCTGGATGAAAAATTCAAGTTGGGCTTTGACTTCCCCAATGTAGGTGCAGGGCCTGGCGGGGGGTGGGGATGTGGGAAGTGTGAGGAATGTGCGCCTTCTCCTGTCCCAGCTGAGAGCATCAGGACTTGGTGTCTCTGCCCCTCTGCATTTCTGGGGCGCTGCCCTGCCTCTCCCTGGTGCTGGGCTCCAGCTCACTCAGTCCTCTGACAAGTTAACTTTGTGCCCACCCCGGCCAGGCACTGGAGGGCCGGGTTCCCTGTGGGGAAGGTGGGGTGCAGAGGTGCCTGGGGACCCTGTGACGTGCCCTGTTGCCTTTCAGCTGCCCTACTTAATCGATGGGCCTCACAAGATCACCCAGAGCAATGCCATCCTTCGCTACCTGGCTCGCAAGCACAACCTGTGTGAGTGTTGGTGGGCCAGGTGCAGGGGACAGGTGGGGTGCCCGGGCTGACCTGGGGGTGCTGAGGGGAGTATGTGTTGTGTGTCTGCAGGTGGGGAGACGGAAGAGGAGCAGATTCGTGTGGACATCCTGGAGAACCAAGCCATGGACACTGCAAATGATCTGGCCCGGGTGTGCTACAGCCCTGACTTTGTGAGTCCCTCCTGCTGGGCCGGACGGGGGCCTTCAGATTCCTGTGGCATCTCTGCTGGGTTTTTGGCCACTGGAACTTCAGGAGCCAGTGATTTACCAAAAATTTCCCTAACGGTCAGCAGACTCACCTGCATGTGCCTTAATGCATCGATGGAAATGGACTCTGTTCACCCAGTAGCTGCTAGGACTCTGCCCTCATTTCCTCAGCTGGTGCTTACTTGTGAGGCAAGTGCTGGCTCCCGGAACCAGGACCGGCCTACGACGTTTGCCCAGTGGACCTTGCATAGTGAGCCATAGCCTCTTGGTGTCACTAATTCCTCCCAGCCTCACACATTCTCATCTCTCCAAACTGCCTTGGAACCCTTCCATTTATTTATTTATTTATGTATTTTTTTTTAGTTTCTGGGTCAAACCCAGAAGTTCATGGAGGCTAGTCTGTGCTCAGTGCTCTGAGATTCCTCCTCAGAGGTGCTGGAATTGAATCCTGCGAAGCCCATGCTCAGGCCCTCTGAGCACTCTCCCATATGCACTCATTTTTCTCTCCATCATGGCTAGGTCACAAATTCTTCTCCAGGACTTGAGTTATTATCACTCTTGGTTTCTCCCTGTTATCCTCAGAGCTGGCCAGGTGCTCATGGCCCCCTGGGCTGACCCACTGGAGAAGGGATGACAGATCAGGGACACTGGAATGTGGGTGTCCCCCCACCCCCATGGGACTCACAGATAGGGGGACCCTGATAACACAGGTGGTTGATATCAGAGCTGGCCCCCACTGGTTGTAGTTTGGCATACACTGCTCGCCCACTGCCAGTGCTTGGAGGCAGGTGACACTTGCCCAGGGAGCAGGGGTGAGTTGACAGCTGCTCTGTGTCTCAGGAGAAGCTGAAGCCAGACTACTTGAAGGGACTCCCCAACACGCTGAAGCAGTTCTCGCAGTTTCTGGGGAAGAGGCCCTGGTTTGCAGGGGACAAGGTAAAGGGGCTGTCTGGGCTGTGGGGACTGTCGGATTTCCCAGATGAGAGGGGGCACTCACTCCTCCCCGCGTCTCTGCAGCTCACCTACGTGGACTTCCTGACTTATGACGTCCTTGACCTGCACCGCATATTTGAGCCCACATGCCTGGATGCGTTCCCCAACCTTCAGGACTTCATGAGCCGTGTGCAGGTGATGCCAAGAGCCTCCTCTGCATGCATGGCTCTGTTTGCTCTCCCCCCCCCGCCCCCATGTTTCCTTTGCTGGAGACGCATCCAAAGGACAGAATGGACACACTCTAGCTTGCCTGTGGACTCGCTTAAGCCATAATCCGTGCCATCATTGTGCCTAGATTATGTCAAGTTTAATCTTTCAACATTTCTCCACGGTAGAAGAATTACACCTGTGTGTTACAGATAAGGAACCGGAGGTTGGATGGAGATGATGACTCGGTCATGCTGCGCTCCCTGGCCTCGAGTGTGGTTGCTAGGCGGAGGCTTGTGGCTCTCCCTTCCCTGTGCCCAGGTCCTTTCTAGCCTTATGTGCGACATGAGTCCGTGTTGAGGAGCGGATGGGCCAGGAGTGGGCATGTCGCTGGCAGGGGGAAAGATTGTATCTGAGGCTCAGGCAGAACTTCCTCTCATTCCAGTAGGTTCTGTAGCCATCAGATAACTGGACATAGCTGTGATTACCAGAGCAAGAGTTACTTCTGGGATTTAAACACATCAGGGTTCTCCTGGGTAGGGTTTCTCTCAGGACAAGGGTCAGGGAACTCTTTTTCCCTCTGTCCCTCTTACATTCTTCTTCTTTTTTTCTATTTTATAAACCTCTATTGTTGTGACAACTGTTCAGTAGGATTGGGAAATTCAAAATATTCTAGCATTTAATATTCGGTATTAAAAAGAGCAAAAGGATCAATTCTATATATTGGACCAGTATTCATTCTGCCTAGTCTTCTATACATTCAACATGTACACTTAGAATCCCTGATTTATTTCTGTCACTGTCACTGTCCTCCCATTGTTCATCGATTTGCTTGAGCGGGCCCAGTAACGTCTCCATTGGAGACTTTGTTGTTACTGTGTTTGGCATATCGAATACGTCACGGGGAGCTTGCCAGGCTCTGCCGTGCGGGTGAGATACTCTCGGTAGCTTGCCGGGCTCTCCGAGAGGGGCGGAGGAATGGAACACGGGTCGGCCATGTTGGCTGCGTGCAAGGCAAACGCCCTACCGCTGTGCTATTTATTTTTATTAACATTTTTTAATTGAATCACTGTGCGATAGACCCTTACAAAACTGTTCTTGATTCCGTCATACAGTGTTCCAGCACCCATCTCTCCACCAGTGTACATTTCCCAGCACCAGTGTCCCCAGTTTCCCTCCCATCACCATCCCTGCCCCCAGCCTGGCTCTATGACAGGTGCCTTTTCTCTCTCTCTCTCTCTCTCTCTCTCTCTCTCTCTCTCTCTCTCCTGTGCATTCTGCCCCCAGTTACCCCAACTCTCTCTTGCAGAGGGGGCTGGTTTATTTCCAGCATGTTCAGGGACCTAGGGATGAGGGACAGGGAGCAGCGCGGCTGTTGCTGTGGGACAGTGAGGGCCCTGCTGGTCTCTCCTACTGCTCTCCCCCACCCCGCTTGGAGGGAGCAATGTCTGTCTAAGCATCCGAGAAGGAGTCAGAGAATGAGCCCTCGGGCTTTAGTGGCGAGTGTGCAGGTGTGTGTGAGGGCGGGGATCAGCTCTGTCAGCTCTGCAGACAGGAACAGGTGATTCCAGCTGTCCCGTTCCTGGCCTTCAATCTGCCTCCGTTCAGCCCCACTGCGAGGAATCTTTTGTTCCCTTTTCTGGGCCTGTTGGGGCAAGTCACCTTGGGGATTAGGTGAGGCTGTGAGTCATGATGGGAGACATGGGTGTCCCCTAGCTTTGGGCCTGGCAGGTCTCAACAAGACCTCCTGGTGGGAATCCTTTGTCCAGGGATGCTCTGCTCTGGGTTCAAACACCTAGATGGTCCTTGGCAAGAGGCTCTTGACTGGCCAGCTGGGAAAAGACTCCTGCCCAGCCGAGGCCCTGGGACTGTCCCCTTCCCCAGCACTCATGGCGCCTGGGCTCTGGCCTCAGGTCTCCTGCTCCCCCTCCTCCCGTGCTCCTCTCTCCTCTCTGCTGAGTCACGGGGAGCCCGGGCCTCTGCAGACTGCCTGGCACACTCAGAGCACGTGGTTCTGCTTTGTTCCCACACTGGGATCCTGGGAAGCCTGGTGCCTCCTTCTGAAGCTGGGGCAAGTGTGAGAGACAGGGCTGGGGCTCTGGGGGGGGGGGGGGTGGTGGTGGAGGGGAGCACTGTAGGGAGAGTCCAGAATGGGGAGAGAGCCAGGCTGCTTTCCTGCCTGTGTGGGGACTGAGGAAGCTGCTTCATGCCTTCATGCCTCAGTTTCCCTTCGGATAAAGCGGATTGTCTGCAGGGTGGTGATGGACTCTAAAGCTACCTCATAACTCTAGTGGATTTAAAGCACTGAGTCCTGTGTGGAACCGCTGATGTAGTCTGAGTAAAATATTTGTTCTAGAAGATTTGGAACATTGGCAGAAGGAGCTGGCGAGCAGGGCGGCTGTCTCCTGCCATGTCCGTGGTTCCCCCACTGCAGGTCGTGTGGTCCAGGGTTCTGCATTGGGGCTGCTGGCCCAGCTGACACGGACCTTCTCTCTCCCATGCAGGGCCTGAAGAAGATCTCCGCCTACATGCAGTCCCCCCGCTTCCGGCCGCACCCCATTTACTCCAAGGTTGCCGTGTGGGGCAACAAGTGATCTTCAGGGAGCGGCGAGCTGACTGGCTTCTGGGGACTCCCGGAGTCACTGTGTCATCCCGATGTTCCTGGTCACCTCTTCCCTCCCACTGTTCTCATTTTTTGTTCTCCCTGCCCGTGTCCCCCCAGCCCTGCTGCTCCCCAGTAAAGCCTCCCCCTCAGCCTGTCTGTCTTCTTTCTCTGGGTCCCAGAGCTGCTGTTCCTCATGACTGATGGCCTGAGGGATTAGGGGACAGTGGGTGGGACGGCATGGCCACCTTTGTGTTCCTGTGGTCCCCAAACCAGGAGGTGCCCTGGGGTGCTGGGAAGGGCGGTCTCTGTGTGGGGTGGTCCTCTCCCCTCAGCTGTGCAGGGCTGAGTATGTGAGTGAGCAGAGGAACCCTGGCTACTTCCCTCCTGGGTGTGTGACTCTTCCCAGTGTGGGGATCCCTGGTCTCCTCCCAGAGGTCCTAGGGGCCCTGTCCGGGTGACTGTGCCATCAGGACCTGGACTCTGGGGTCCCCTCAGGTCCCACTGCCCTGCGAAGGGCTCTGATCATGCATGTCTGAAATTGGGAGTCTAATGCAGCCCCTTGGGTCATCTGGAACTCTGGGCTGGTGCTCAGCACTCTCGTGGCCTCACTTGGTCTCTGATGAGCAGGGGTGGTGGCCACATGTCTTTCTGCCACTGGCTTTTCTTTGTACGGGATATGATGAGTCAGTGGCATGAACAGACTGAGCATCCTTCATAGGAGAAGTTAGTTGAATTGGGGTGTGTGGGGCGGAGACAGGCCTGAGGGCCAGGAGATGGTGCAGAGTTTAGCTGCAGCCTTGAATGCAGCCACCTGGTTCCAACCCCACACACATGCCCTTCCCAAGCACCGCCAGCATCATGTGGCCTGAGAGTTAGGGGCTCCAGAACTCCTGAGCATGGCTTGGGAGCCCCCTCTCCAAGAAAAAGAAGTTTCTAGAAACAGTGGAGTGAAGGCTGACACTCTAGTGGCAATGGGGCAGTAACATTTTATTCCCAAAACTTTAGTATCTACACTGTGGTAAACTTGCACTGGAGCACTGTCACTGTCCTCCCGTTGTTCATCAATTTGCTCGAGCGGGCACCAGTAATGTCTCCATTGTGAGATTTGTTGTTAACTGTTTTTGGCATATTGAATATGTCACGGGTAGCTTGCCAGGTTTTGCCGTGGCATCAAGTGTGGTAAACTTGATGCCTTAAAAAAAAGCCAAACCAACAATGGCTGATTCCTTGCATTGGTTCTGAGGGGTGAATCCAAGGCCTGTGGCATGTCCTACGGCCTTAACGTCCCCCTCAGCATGGATCCTCAGCCCTTCCCCGCATGCACGTCTCCTCTGGAAAGATTGCCATCCTGCTGAGAGTGGCTGGCTGGGAGGAAGGTTCTAGAGCCCTGAGGTGCCCTTACCTGATGCCCTTACATAATCCTGCTGCTTGTGGGCTGCTTGGGGCAAGGTTCAGCTGCAGAGAGGGCCCTGGGCGGCAGCTCACTGACCAGGGAGAGGGAGGGAGGAGGAAGTGCTGCTTTACGCTGTGGAGGGGCCGGAGTGGGCAGGGGCAGTGTGTGAGGGCACAGGTGGCATGAGTGTCCGGGTGCCAGAGTCAGCCCGGACTCTAGGTCGGGGGGCTCAGTGGCTTCTGTCCTGCCAGTGCTGTGTCTGGACTTCTGTGGTCCCTCCTCTCAGGGGCGGGGCAGGGTGTGAACCAGGGGTACGAGGTGTGTGGGGGCGGGCCAGCTCTGGCTCTGGCCACGCCCCAGCCCCACTCAGAGCATAAAGCCAGAGCCCAGCTCAGCAGAAGCGTCTGTTCCAACACAGAACCTGCACCATGGTTATGACCTTGGGGTACTGGGACCTTCGGGGGGTGAGTGAGGGGCTGGGGGTCATGGAAGGGGGCACGTGGGAGGTTCTGGGTGCTGGGGTGTCTTGTAATGTGGTTCCTTCCAGGTCTTGCTGGGACCCAGGCCACCCCTTAGGAATGTGTGAGTGTGTGTGTGTGTGTGTGTGTGTGTGTGTGGTGGTTGGTTGGTGTGAGGGGGAAGGCTGGGGGGTCTATAGAGATCACCTGGAGTCGGGGCTCCGCTTGTCTGACTGTGTCATGACCGTTCTCCCAGCTGGCTCATGCCATCCGCCTGCTCCTGGAATACACGGACACCAAGTATGAGGAGAAGAAGTACGGGATGGGCGACGGTAATGACTACAGGCCTTGTGTCTCCCTGACACGCACCCCAGTGCTGGCCTCTGGTCTCTCTATCTCCCTCTGCATGAGCCAGGGTGCCGCACCCTTACCCCACTGAAGGTGCTGCTTGCTTTCAAGGCAGGGCAGGCGAGATTGCTACATCTCAAACTGAAGTTTGGATGGCTTCCACCTCGGACTTTGCCTCAATCCTGCTTAAACCTTTCCCTGGTGGTTTCAGATTCTCCTACCTGCTGGTTTTCCCTCTAAGCTGGAATGTGAGACTTGGCTCAGATCACAAATCCCCCTGCTTCTGGGGTCAGGACACTGATTCGATTGCAGCTCCCCGCAGTGAGGTCTGGGCTTTGGGGAGGTCTGTTCTCACTCCATCTTCCTCCCACAGCTCCCGACTATGACAGAAGCCAGTGGCTGAATGAAAAATACAAGCTGGGCCTCGATTTCCCCAATGTAGGTGCAGGGCCTGGTAGGGTGTGGGGGTGTGAGAAGTGTGAGGGGTGCGCGCCTTCTCCTGTCCCAACTGAGAGCATCAGGACCTGGTGCCTCTGCTCCCCCTACGTTTCTGGGGCACTGCCCTGTCTCTCCCTGGTGCTGGGCTCCAGCTCACTCAGTCCTCTGACAGGTTAACTTTGTGCCTACCCCGGCCAGGCACTGGAGGGCCGGGTTCCCTGCAGGGAAGGTGGGGTGCAGGGGAGCTTGGGGACCCCGTGATGTGCCCTGTTGCCTTTCAGCTGCCCTACTTAATCGATGGGCCTCACAAGATCACCCAGAGCAATGCCATCCTTCGCTACCTGGCTCGCAAGCACAACCTGTGTGAGTGTTGGTGGGGTGGGTGCAGGGGACAGGTGAGGTGCCCGGGCTGGCCTGGGATTGCTGAGGGGAGTGTGTGGCATGTCTGCAGGTGGGGAGACAGAAGAGGAGAAGATTCGTGTGGATGTTGTGGAGAACCAGACTATGGACACCCGCATACAAATGGCCCGGGTGTGCTACAGCCCTGACTTTGTGAGTCCCTCCTGCCATGCCCGCAACCTCAGCATTGGTCAGGTTGGCAGCTTTGACTGGAGAGATGGTGAACTTGTCTCGTGGAGACTGGCCTTCCTCGGTGACTTCCTTTGAGCTATAGATCGCCCGGAATTTCCCAGTGTTCTGCAGACTGATTTCCATGTGTTAGATGTGTCCAGTGAAAGTGGACTCGGTGTCCTCTGATCTAAGGACAGCAAGTGCTACCGGGGCTGAGCTTGTCCCTGTGGGACCTCTCACTAGCCCCCTCTGGGAGACCGAGGCAGGGGCACGTGACTTCTGTATCAGGTTGGGTCAGCTTCGAGCCCTGGTTCCTCTGCCTCCTCCATCAGACTCTCACCTCCTCAGCAGGCTGACTTAGCGTCCCTGTCACTCTCCTCATGGGGACTCACGGCTCTTCCACCTAGTTAGTTCTGTGCTTCTGCCCCACAGGACCAGCTGGTCAGCATCTTGTGGTCTCCTGGCTCTGACCTGAGGGGATGTGTGAACATTTGGAAGGGTGGGGTGACAGGTGAAGGGACAGTGGACTGCCACCCCCTTGACTCACCCGGGCAGGGGGTGCTCATGGGTGGATGATGTCAGCGCTTGGGGGACATGCTGCTCACCTGTGTGTTGCCGTGGGGAGTCAGGACACACCCACACTGGGACCTGGTTTGTGTCGCAGGAGAAACTGAAACCGGAGTACGTGGAAGGGCTTCCTGAGAAGATGAAGCAGTACTCGCAGTGTCTGGGGAAGAGGCCCTGGTTTGCGGGGGAGAAGGTAACACTGAGGCAGAGGTGAGGGGCATGGTCACGTGTCCTGAGTTTGGACTCTGGGGCTCACTCTTTCTGGCGTCTCTACAGCTCACCTACGTGGATTTTCTGGCCTATGACGTTCTTGACCAGAACCGCCTGTTTGTACCCACCTGTCTGGATCCCTTCCAGAACCTAAAGGACTTCATGACCCGTTTTGAGGTACCTTACCTGATATCCCCCCAACCCTCTTTTGCTCTTGAAGCAGGAGTGGGTATGAGAGATGGGACTGGGATCCTGGGGGGAGTGGAGGAGAGCACCATAGGAAGAGTCCAGAACAGGGAGAGAGCCAGGCTGCTTTCCTGCCTGTGTGGGGACTGAGGAAGCTGCTTCATGCCTGCATGCCTCAGTTTCCCGTCTAAGCTGCTTGTTGAGCCTCTCTCGTAGGGTGAATGTTGATTTTAGTCTGACTCTTGGCCTGTGGTGATCTCAGGCTCCTGCACGGTGCAGAGTCTAACTATGGTGGCAGAAACACTGGTCGTATTTGCGGCACCCCAGAAATCGTGTCATTTGACCCTTTAGCCCATTTGGCCACAGTCCCCACTCCGTGTGTGTGGGGTGAGTGCACTGCACCTTGGACCTAATCTGGCTCCCTCTCCTCGCAGGGCCTGAAGAGGATCTCTGCCTACATGAAGTCCAGCCGCTATCGCCCCAGCCCCGTGTATGCCAAGATGGCACTGTGGGGCAACAAGTAGGCCCCTCCAGGAAGGAGGCAGAGGGGGCAGATCTGCTCCTTCTGTGTGGAGGCTTGTGGACATCCGGGCTCTCCAGAGCCACCTCGTTGTGATTTCTCCTCCTTTCCCCTGTCTCCCTGACTGGCTTCGCGGTTCCTCCCAGCTAGAGTCCCTGACCTCTGCTCCCCGTGTGGGGAGGGAGGCTGTGTCCTAGCTGCCCACTGTGCCCCCTGTGCCCCCTGCCCTAGGGTGGCTTCCTGTGGGGGTGCCCCACCCCGCTGCTCCCTAGTAAAGCCTCCCTCCATCTACTGTGTCCTGTCTTCTTTCTCTGGGTCCCCGGACTCTGGTGAGAGCTACTGCTTCCCATGACTAATGGGAGGGTCTGGGCTGGGAGATGGGGGACAATGGGTAGGATTGTGTGACCACCTTCATGTTCCTGTGGACCCTCAGACAGAAGGCCTTATGGGGCAGTGCGG